TTATTACTTTCATTTTTTTAGTTATTTATTTATCTTTTTTTTACATTTCATTTTTATGCATATTTATTTCCTTTATTTATTTATTTTTTATTTTGGCCTTTTTATTATTTATTCTTTATATTGCATTGTCTTTATGTATATGTTACCTTTAGATTCCTTGGTTCATTTATTTACTTATTTTACTTCTTGTTATTTTGCTTATTTGGTTTTTTTAGTTTCTATTTTATCTTCATTTTTATTTCCATTATTTTATTCTTTTTACCTTACTCATTTTCGTCTTTTTTATGTCATTATTTTTTTAGGGGTGTTTAAATCAATCAGTGGTAAGTCTCAGATCGTTATGTTACCTTTCAAATTAAAATTACAACTTTCTTAATTAAAGAAAACTGGAAATTACGTAGTACCGAAAGGGCAATTCAAGGGTGCTAACCCTTCATTGACTGTAACCAACTCCCGAATTCGACATATCACTGGTAAGATGCATATCAGGTAAGAAATAAGGTACCCGGTCAGCACATTTAATTTTAAATAAATGATCGGTGCCGACTCTAACCCAATTTTCCTAAGTCGAAGCCCAATTCTGGGGTCCAACCGAAAGACGGTTCCGACATATATTTTTAATAAAATAATTACCATTAAGTATTAAATATGAAACTCATACATATTTATGAAAAATTTTAAATATATATTTTTAAATAAAATATTTTCTCAAATTCATTCATTTAGGATAATATAATCTGATAATTGAACGTTAGTTTAATCTGTATGGTTACATTACGTGAGTTTAGACAGTCTAAATTTATAAAATATTGGGTAAAGTACATGAATGGTCTTCGACTATAGGATGATGTTTTGTTAAGTCTCGACTATTCATATATTTTATTGTATTTCACTCAACATGATAACGCTCAGCATAGATGACCATCAATTATTTAACGAAAAATAATGAGTTTGAAATATATGAATAGTCAAGTGATCATTTTGTAACTTTTAATAGTCGAGAAACTCAACAAATTAATGTCCTATAATCAGGGACCATTTATATTCTACCCTAATATATATAAGGACCTAGTTGCGTTTTATTACATGCATGTGAAATTTATATATGTATAATATATATATATATATTATATATATATATATATATATATAAAAGAAGTTAGTTTTATTAAAATATAAAATATTTAAATTACAAAGAAGGTTTATGAATATAACCGTAAACTAAACATGTAGTAATAATATTTTATTATAATTATTAATACAAGAAAACTAATCACTTAATAGATCACACAAGAACCACACAAGAAAAATATTAAAAAATAATCAAATAAAATCAAACAAAAAATAAATATGAACATATTTGACGTTTCGATAAACGAACCACAAAAGGAGTCAACCTATTAAAAAACTGCTGATAAACCACAAATCGCGTATCCAAATCCACTCTAATGGTCCAAAGCAGAGAAGATCAACATAAAAACAAATAAGTGTCATCTTGATCAGTCGTGCCGATGTCAAGTCTAACCCTGAGAAAAAAGATAAATGAAAACAACAGTCAAACGACTGAAAACGTGCCATAAAGGTAGAGTTATTAAAACTTTGAAAACAAGAAAAAAGTGAAAATACATTATAATAAAAGAAAAGAAAAACAATGAATAACGACGATCGACAATAATCACCAAGACTAGTGTCACTGCCGATCACAAAAATGAAGACAAAGAAAATTAGTGACGACTAAAGAGAGAAAACTAAGACAAACTTCCTTTTATATTTTTTTCTATTATAATACATGCATGTGAAAGTAAAATAATGATGATATTACCTATAGATATTGAATTTTAGGATATAAGCGAGAAGAACAATAATATACTATATGTATAGAGATTATGAAGGGTGATATCATATGTATCCTAAAATTCAATATCTATACCAAAATTCGAACTATCCTGTAACACCATTAACCCGTATCCGACCCGGATACGAATCCGAGATGTCACATTGACTTTTCAAACAGATTACTTTTACAAAATAATTGAAAATTTAAATTTGTATTGGAGACTGAATAACTGATATTAAATACAATCAAATCATTTTACAAAACCGATCAGAGCTTAAACAATTCAAATCTTGTAACTACATGCCAACTATATTCTATATAACAAAATACATATATTCAATATGTTTCTGATCTGATATGTGGAAAAGGAAAAGCTGACCTAGATCGTTTATCTTCGTTCTTTCTCTTCTCGGAACCTACGTGTGAAACATTCACACGTTAAGTCTAAGACTTAGTGAGGCATATAAAACATGTAATATAACTCTACTCATATCAATGCATAAACAATTAATACTATCATATCATACAAAAGCATATGTCCTGTCATATAACCAATACACACATATACATATATCATTAACATGCTTATCAATACTTATATTAGTATTACTAATTCCTTTTTATCATATACGCAAATACTAAACATTTTTATACACATCATAGAACATATATATCATTTCACAATAGAGCACACATAGTATCATACCAATTGATTTATTTATTTTATTTAAAGCCCATGTATACTTTTTGAGAAATTAAGGTATGTGAGTACATAGAGGTTGTGCACATATGCTGTCACCACAGCTCGTATAATTCCCACTAGGGGCTCGTAGAATTTGTCCCGAATGACCACATATCACATATGTCCCGAAGGACCACGTAGAACCCTCGACTATTGGCATGCCAACTATACCCTTAGCTTTCAATATACATAACATGGGCATTATTATTAGGTTTTTCATAAATTCACATCACATAGGAACATAGTCTCATAGTTTCTTTCACATAGTTCATTATCACATTTTCATATGATCATATAAGCAAGTAGTTCACTTACACATAATACATTTCCATATAATTCACATATCAAATTTCTCATGTCATATTCTCATATGATCACATAACTCGTGTCACTTTCTCATGTGGTCACATAGCTCATGTCATATAATCTCTTATGCCTATATTATTTAATTTATATCATATTCTTATTTAATCACACCTCACACTGTATTCACACACATACTAACATATACCATAACATATATTTATATCAAACATATACTTATATCTACTAATTCATATATTATAATATAGGAAATAGACTTGTCGCAAGTCTTATTTCCATTACACATCATATAACTAATATGCACTCACCTTTGCCTCACTTGCTAATACCAATCCTTTAACACTCTCTCGACAATCTTACTCTGATAGCTTGTCCAAACTTTATTTTCGATTGATATCTACACGAACATACCATCCAATGAATATCGAATATTTGAATTACTCGAATAGCTTCATACTAATTTAAACTAAATAAAACATTAATTTCAACTTTCCATCTTAAGTAGTATCGGTACTACCAGCATAGTACTGATACTTCAATGCTAGGGTACCGATACCCTACCCTGGTATCGATACCAAAATTAGCTTCGATGTTCCCTAGTATCGATACTCATTCCTTATGATATCGATACTTTTCATACAGGTACTGATACCCCATGCGTAATTTTCTCATAATACCCTACCCTGGTACGATACCAAAATTACTTCGATGTTCCCTTACGAACTATTCCTTATGATATCGATACTTTTCATACAGGTACTGATACCCCATGCGTAATTTTCTCATAATTTGCCTTGTAGTATCGGTACTCATTCAACCGGTACCGATACTACAAACACATAATACATTCCTTAAACCTGAAAATCATCCCTTACCCAACTAAATTCCTTATTTTATTATTCTTTGATGCCTTTAAACTTAACCACACATATACAAATTAACTTATTTCACTTCAACTCATCATAACATCTCATATGTAACTATTATACTTGAGTTCAATAATCAAGATAATAAATCAACATGTTCTAAATTCGTTTCTAATTCTCCGAATTTCTTAGTTAGATCCTTGACAAGTCAAATTTCACTTCAAAACTTATTTATTACTCTATCTAAATAATTCCCTTAAAAACTCTTTACCTTAAATCTTACATAACTTAATCCTCTTTGAGTTTTAAGCAATCTTAAGCTTTCCTATCACCCAAAAATCAAAACCAACTTTAAAACGAAAGAATTAACCAACTTGAGACCAACTTACCTTAGCTATGGTGTCACGGTGGAGAGGAGAAGAAGAAAGATGAAGAGAATGCTCCAGAATTTATTTTTTCCCTCTTTCTCTTCCACGTGATTCCTATATAACCATAACAAATCTTGGTGGTCAAATGATCATTTTCCCTTTAATCTTTTCATATCTACCAATCAATCCTCTTAATTAAAATTCCCATTTAAGTCCTTAAACTTTCAAATTTTTATAATTTGATCACCAAATTTCAAAAACTTCCATTTAAGTCACTAACCTAGTTTTTGGGATGTTACAAATCCCAAATCACTCTCACAATATTCATGCAAAACTATCTCTGCAACAAAGACCTAAATATTTGGCAGAGATCTCCAAATAATTATCTTTTTAAAAAATAATTCTCTAATATAATTCTAAAGGCCAAGAGATATTCCATATTTATAGAGTCTAGTATTTAATCATAAGGAATTCCAATTCTATAAGAGTTTTTATCTAAAATAAATATTTAATTATTAAATAAATTTAATTACTAAGTAATATTTAATTATTTGAATCACATCAAAATTTAATTTAATTATTAATTATAATTTAATTTAAAATATATATGGCAACATACACAAATATATGAGTCTGGACATATTTAAATATTTTTTTATTTTTTACTTTTAATTTCAATCGTCTATTTTGTTCATCTAACGATAATGGTAGATAATTGAATTTTATTCCTGTATTATATATATGCTCTATCCACTTTTGCGAATCTTTCGATTTTTGTCGTCAACTAAACTTTAAATTGATTGGGCCTTAAAAACTGGAGAATAAAAAGCCCAATCCTTAACCCCAAAATCTACAATAAAACTGAAACGAAGCAAAGTGAAAAGAAGAGGCGAGTGATATAGAAATGGGGAGGAAGAAGGGAGTAGTAGAGTTCGAAGAAACGGCGCCGGATGACTTCGATCCGGCCAATCCGTACAAAGACCCGGTGGCCATGCTGGAAATGAGGGAGTACATTGTTCGAGAGAAATGGATCGACATTGAGAAAGCCAAGATCCTCCGTGACAAGGTCAGGTGGTGTTACCGCATCGAAGGAGTCAACCATCTCCAGAAGTGCCGCCACCTCGTCCGCCAATACCTCGACGCCACGCGCGGCATCGGTTGGGGCAAGGATGGCCGCCATCCCTCACTCCACGGTCCCTTTACTCTCTTTGATTTCATTTACAACTTTTATTTTATATATTTTCAACTCGATTCGTTGTTATTTTTATTACTTGCTCTTTGCTTCCTCGATTTTAAAGAAGATCAATATTTTCCCATTACTTAGTGTATGGTTTTGCTATTATTTGTGATAATTGTTCGTTCTCTAAAAGTTTTTAATTTGAATCTATATTTGTTTTATTAGCTACATCCTGTTACTTGATAACTACTTTTGGGGATGTGGAAAGCAAAGCGAGTGGTAGAAGTAACAAAAATTGAGCGTTGAATAGTTCTTTTTATTCTAGTTATTTGCGGGAAGGAATGACTGAACTGTATTAATTTGTTTTCATGATTTGGGATTTTAGGTCCGAAGGTTGAAGAGATTGAGTCAGAATGAATGGCTTCATTCGATTACAGTGGGTAATCTATTCTTTCTTTAAACTATCTACTGGACAATCCATTTTACTGTGTTTGCTTCAACATGATATAATTTTTGCTTGTTGATGTTGGTGAAACTAATAGGTTGAAGTTCAGAATCTGTACAAAGAGAAGCTTAAAACAATTTAACTAAATCAGGTTGCCAATTGTGCTTATGATAGGAAATTATAGGAAGTTGGTGGACAAAACTATGAGATTATATAGCAGAAGTGTGTGGAAAAAGAATTATTTAAGGCTTTAAGTGGGTAGGAAGACTCTTCAAAATCATAAAAAATTTAGTTGTTTGCATGTTCTTAGTTATGTCTATGAAAATTTGGAACATTGTTTTTCATTCGCTTAAACATTAATATTCGAGGTTTATTTAATTATTTATTTCAGGGGTAAGTTGAGTAGGAGCTTAAGGATTTGTCAGGTTTGTGTAAATTGATCTTAACTAATCTGTTGAGTGTCAGGTGATTAGGAATCTTTTATCCTCTTGCGATAGGCCTTATTAGCTTACGATTGTAAGGCCAGTGAACCAGTTAAGCTAGAAACCTGCAATTCTCTGTTAGAACCTTTCAAAGTAACTTGTAATTAAGGTATGGTTTTTCTTTCCTGTGGGAACATATCTCATGGATGTAATAACCATTCAATCAACTTGGAATGGGTTGAATATGCACTGGTGTGTGCATTAGGAGCAGAAAATATATCAAGCTCGCTTGAGCTGAGCAAGTCATGAATCATAGTTTGAAGAAAATTGTTTGAGTGGTGCAAAGATACTGTCTGACGGTGATGTCTTGTGTGTTATGGTTGGAGTTTGGATGAAGTTAAATTACTAAAGAGTCAGAATGATGCATATTCTGGCTGACTGTGTCACATTTTGTAATATTGACAACCTTTTGTTGATTCTGATTGCTGATCTTTCCAATAATGACACGCTGCCATCCAAGGGGAATCTTCATCATTGGTCATTATGGAAGAAGGAAAAGAGTAAAGAAAAATGAAAATAAAGGGAAAAAGCTGACTAAAAATTATACTAATTTTAGTGATGAATATGATAATTTTGTGGTTAAATTCTTAATAAAAATTCATATTAATTTTATAATTAAAAAATTATTATTGATATTTTTATAAAATGGTAAAATGTTTTGTTGTGCTTATTCCTTGCATATTCATTGACATAATTTTATCAACCAAACATCTCTGCTAGATTCCTCTTCAATTCCAGTCTGCTAACCAAATTATGTGATACCTATACATTCTCCCTTTATTCTATTTAGCTGACCAAAACGTACTTTAAGTGATTTCAACTTGAATTGATATTTCTTTGTAAGTAAATGCATTCAAAGGTATATAGCTTTTTATTGAACATACTGATTACAACTTGCATTCCAAAGAGAAACTGTTCATTATTTTCTTAAGTAGTTTACCATATGAATTGATTGCAATCAGTGGACAGTCATTTATTAACTGTGATAGATAGATATTCTAGGTGAGAGCATGTGAAGTTTTTTTGCATGTTGATAACTGCAAGATCATTACAGTTCTCATGATATTACGTCTAAACTAGTCAATTTGCTTCATGGCTTGTTCCCTTTTTTAAATGAATCGTTTTGGTACCTTCCAGTTTTATAATGTGATAAAACAAGGATGGAGAGGGATATCGAAATATGTGTAGTACGGAGGTTTATATCAATAAGTTTACCAAAAGAGGATATTAACATTCTGTTCTAATCTGATATCCTACAATGTGACATGAACGTAGATTGTTCGAGCAAATGAAAGTGAATGAAACAAGATTGAACTTGATATTTGAACAATAATAACAGTATTGCATGTTAGCTTGATGTAGCAGTGGTATAACAGTGTAACTACATTTTGGTACCTTTAGTATGGCCATGAATAATTTTTTTTTCTCATCATTTTTTACATTTCCGTTCATCTTTACCTATTTTATGTGGTATGACTGCGGAATTGTGCATTTCTGATAAAAAGAATCGAGATTATTTAATCAATCTACGCGGAAGGTGTAAAACTTAAGTTTGTGTTACAATTCAAGAACTTGGACAAATAGAATTAATATCATGCTTCACTGTTGCAGGTAACTTTGGCCATAAAATTAAGGAGCGTGAGATTGGAATAATTTTTCACCTACATTGTTATTATTGTAGCTTGCGCTGTAAGACTCTTATAACAAGATTGAACATGATGTCATTTTCCTTGTACTTGTTAGCATCCAAAATCTTTGTTTTAACTTGGCGAATCTGTCCATAACAGTACATCAGATAAATGAAATAAGTTGTCATCTCAAAAGTAGTGTTCAGTTTTGCATACCCTGTTTGATTGCTGATATGAAGTCTTAATTTTTTTCTGTTTGGGTTTAGTTTAGGAGGGTTGGATGGTAATCTGTTATATCCTACTTCAAAATCAGATCATATGTCATTTGACTGCTTTGAACCTTATAGATGCTCTTTCAACGTATTGAAAATGGTGATGGATTTCAAGATATTACCACATCATCGAGTGAAAACGATTAGTGACAAGGAAATACGTGGTTTACTTTTACTGCAAGAATATCCTATTCACTCGCGGTTTGTTTTTGGGTCATAATCACTAGATTATACAGGAGAGGTGTCAGAGTGGTTCAAGGTGTAGCATTGGAACTGCTATGTATGCTTTTGTTTATCGATAGTTCGAATCTCTCTCTTTCCGAACTCCTATCTTAACCTAATTCGCCAAATTTACTGACCTAAAATGTAAAAAATAACAACGGAGAAGCCAATTTTGAATTTCCGGCATCCCTTTTAAGGTACCTTAGGGATCGATTCACTTTGCATATAGATTAACTGGATGCATACAGCCTTCCACTGACAGGCGGTCGTGTATTTCACAGGATTTCTCGTTACTTATGTCAGCATCCTCACTTCTGATATCTCTAGGTGTTGTCGCCAAAAATCTTCCCCGATTGATAGAACGTCCCGACGCTTGAAAAAGCAACTTTCAAGGATCGTTGCTTCAGTGAATACTTTAGCTGATGGAGAATAACTATACTTATAGATAATCCTCCTTACATCAAATAATCTAAATCATTTACATCGATGATTAAGATTAAAATATGTTTATATAATCTCTTTATTTAAGGAAAATAAATTAAATCTATCAATACATTCCACATATAATAAATTACATGAAATATAAAAAAATCAAAAACAAAATTTTTATTTAACATTAAACATGTGATTTTCTTATCGTTCCTATATTTCTCAAATTCAAATTAAATGACCTAAAAAATATTAGGTAATTAAAATAATCTTGAACCTAAACTATAAAATAAACTTTAGTCATAAAAAATATTCCTAGACTTTCTGTTAATGGGAAGAAAAAAAACCCAAAAATACAAGGCAATTAATTCTGAAGATATGAATGGAAACTGAACAAGCAAGGTCTTTAGGATCTTCAATCTAATCTTACCAAGAGTTATAAAACTATAATTAAGGTTAGGGTAATTGCATTAAATACTATTAAATTGTAAGGTTTTTATTAATTTTACCACAATTTTAAAACACTTCAATTGTAGCTATGAGCTTTAGTTTTGGCTTCAATTATAGCACTGAACATTAACCCTTTAACAACGGGAGGAGATCACAATTTGGTGTTGATATGGTGGTGACGTGTGCTGATGTGGAAACCAAAAAATAATTTTTTATTCCACCTCATCATCTTCTTCATCAAAATTAGGAAGATTTCATCCATTTATAGCCACCATAGGAAACTGTCACTCTCTAGTATCTTTTGTGACCACCCTAGACACTAATGAACTTGTCTCATCGTCCTTTATCATTTTATGGTTTAGATTTAGTCTATTTTTAGCTGTCATAAGAAACTGTCACTCTTTGACATCTTTTGCGACCACCCTAGACACCGATAACCTACGTTATCACGCTATTAAAATTAAAGTGTTCTAATTTTGAATTGTAAAATCAATATAATCTTAAAGTTTAATAGTATTTGATGTAGTTTACTCTTAATTCTATATAGGTAAAAATGATTTCTTTGTTAATATGAACTGCCATGTAAAGCTAAATTCCTAACAACTCATAAGTCATAAAATTATTCTGGTTGAACGGAAAGAACTGTAAATCGAATAAATATCTATTAAATTGATCCAAAAGGATATAGAAAGATTTATTCTTAAACTTTTCATTCTTCTTTAATTTATTTTGGAGCAGACACAGTTAAAAAGTTGGGTAAAGTACATAAATGGTCCCTTGACTATAGTATATTATTTTATTAATTCTTATGACTATTAAAAGTTACAAAATGGTCCCTTGACTATAAGATGTTAATTTGTTGAGTCTCTCGACTATTATAAGTTACAAAATAGTTACCGACTATTCATTATGTTCCAAACTCATCATTTTTCGATAAAAAATGATGATAATTTGAGCTAGACGTTAACCTACTGACTGAGATATGATAAAATTTAACTTCAAAATCTCAAAGACTAAAATATCTCAGTCAGCATATTAGCATCAAACTCAAACGACTGTTAACTTTTTTAACAAAAAATGATGATTTTAGAACATAATGAATTTTTGAGAGATCATTTTTGTAATTTTTAATAGTTCAGGGACTCGACAAAGCAATATACTATAGTAGGGGGATCATTTATGTACTTTACCCTAAAAAGTTATGCTTTCCTGCTTGAAAGAAAATATGAAACTAAATAGACGCTTTCTCCTATAAAAGAAATTAGATTAAACTATATAATGAAAAAGAAGAGAAAGAGGTAAATCTGTGACATTACAGAATCAGATTCCAAAAAGAAAAAAAAAATCCAATAAATTAACCCAAAATTCAACCATTATTCCTTTTCATTTTTTCTAGCTTTTAACTTGAACTTTTCTCAATTGTTCAAAACACCCCATTGTTGGGATTCTTGAGCAAACACCTCTACAGGCTTCATGACAGAAAGGGTAAGTTCCATTTTCATTTTCTTTTTAAGAATCTCCCTTGATATTTGAAATATTTCTGGAAACATGCATGGACCAGTTCTGCTGCATGGTTATGAGGATGAACATTGACTGCAACGGCTGTTACAGAAAAGTAAGAAGAGCTCTTCTTGAAATCCAAGGTCAGATCAAATGTTCTTATTTGTTTTCATCTTCTCAATTTTTAATTTTGTTTCTTTATATATGTTTGTAATGAAATGCAGAGCTGGATACACATTTGATAGAGATGAAGCAGTGCAAGGTAAGCGTTTGTGGGAGGTTTAAACCCCAAGAAATAGCCATTAAAATAAGGAAAAAGACCAATCGCAGAGTGGAGATTTTGGAAATACAAGAATTCAGCAGCAACAATGAACAGAGTCACGAGGAGAAGCCATTGATGATCACTTCTTGGAATCTCGAATCCAATCAAAATCAATTTGCAACATGCAGATGACTGTTATATATCTGTATAGGAATTAAACATGATGATTCCCTTGCCGCTGATAAAGTGAGAGCACAGAGATATGCAACAAGCTGGTGAGTTGAGCTATAGCTAA